CAGTACAAGTACAGTGTACCTTTCTTATGATGGAACCACATAACTACTTACATACTGTATGTAATTTAAAAAAAGGCTGAGCATGAAGTTCTCTGAATGATGTCCATAAAAAAACACAACTGAATCTTAAGACAAAAGAATCTGACATCTTGGATGAAGTTGAAAGTATGTACTATACACTTGAAACCACAGGATTAGAATAAATAAGATCATCAAGGAAACTGATCACTACAAAAAAAGAGAAAAAAAAATTAATTCTAACTTTTCATCTCTCCTTGATGGTTGTTCTCTGCTTCTACTTCTGCTTCTACTTCTGCTTCTACTTCTGCTTCTACTTTGTTTCCTTCCCTTTTTTTTACTACAATTTGATATGCTACAGTTACTAGTCATGGCAAAATACACACTTGGTGCACTGCACTGTATTTATATGTAAAAAAAGTTTAAGATGACATTTGCTATCAACTTCATGATCTACTGGTTATCAATACATGTATTTTATCAAAACATAGAAACACATTGCTTATTGTAATGGCTACTGAATTCAACAGAATCAATCCATGGACATTTAGCTCTTGTTTCATGTTGAGTTAATGATGTATCAGTAGAAAAAAATAAAGTAAGGACATACATGTGATGGAGTAGCTAATCACACACGCACTTGTCACAACTTCTCACAACATCATTGTTGACCACAAAGGATTACTCATTCATGAACAAAGATGCTCTTGGGAAAAAAATTTTCTGGCTTTGAATACCAAACAACAAATTGACATTGTTTAATCAGAAATTTGGTCTAAAAATATCATTTGTGGATTACAAGTCCAACATTCTATCTTTTAGGAATGCACTCTCCCTTGTCAAATAAAATAAATTAAGTTCATCAAAAGGGTGTAATCACTAATTAACTACCCTTAACAAGATAAGATAAATTATAGACTGTTTGTAGACTGTAATTCACCTGTCAGTTTGTGAGGTTGATTGTTTAGCCTTAGACATCAGAGCTTCTAACTGAAAGTGTAAATAACTCATAAATGTACATGTCATGTAGGAGGTAAAATTATGTCAGATACTTATTTAATATTTCATGACAATACCAACAGTCATCTTACAAATATGCATTTCCACACTAAAGCTTCATCAATCTTTTTCAAATACCAAAAATAACTTTTTATGAGACTTAGCTAACACAGCAAAATATGTTCATTAACTGTGCATAACTTTCCCTCTAACTGATGAACTGGAAGCAATTGCAAAGACACATAATTATCTTTAAATAAATAAGACCTGCTTGAAAACTTAAAGAGACAGGCCTTTTCAGCTGCTTCCCACAGCCAATAGAATGTCTTACAATAGACATTAAATTGAGTCTGTCCCTATCCTGTTTTTAAGAAAAGGTTAAAGATGCTTCTTTTCAAAGCTACTGAAAATTTATTGTGTATTTCTTATTTTCATGTATCAGTTGACTCCTTGTTTATTCATCACTTTCATTTATTTCAGATTAATTTGTCTTTTGTACAGTTTTCAATTGTCATGCCATGTAGAGATTTTTGTCTTTATTCCTAAAAAAAAAAAGTTATTTTCATTATCATTACTGTTTTAATCATTGGTGGTGTTACTGTTGTTACTGTTTTGGAGGTCAGAAGTCACTTCAACCTTCAGTCATTTTAAAACATTTTTAAGTAAAACTAATTTGAAGTCATTTACCATAATTTCCACCACAGTAAAAAGAAGTGAAGAGTTTTTTAAAATAATTATTCCATTAGCATCTGTTGGATTTGAAATTGGTCATAGCAACAAGTGCTGTTGGCTATTTATCATTTCAAAACCAGAGCAAGTAATAAATCAAATGTACAGCTATTGCTGATAACTCTCTTTATATTTACCACATTTCAATCAGTCATAGTATTTAAGTATATGTACTTAAGTGAGTAATTGGATTTTATAGCAGATAAAAGGTAGGCTTTTAAATTAAGTCATTTACAAATTATACCTACCTCCCCTAAAGCTGATGATGCCACTTGTTCATCATCCTCGAAGCCCTAACCAAAAGATAACCACACAAGGATAATGAAAAAAAGAAAATTTTAAATAGTCAAAAATGCACAAAATAAACACTTAAAGTAATTCTTTAGTATTGCACTGCACATCCTATAATGCACATAAAAGTTACGTAATCTGGCAAATGAGCCACATGCGTTCCTAGACCATGGTATTGTTTTCTGATGAATGGACCAGGTAAAGAAGTAGCTCTTGAATGAGCACGGTGACTTATCTACTTTTGTGCATAATTTTGGTCTACAAATTATCCCCTTTAAATTGTAGAAATTACAACAAAATTCTTAGAAGGGAAATAAAAGATGAAGCTAGAAGGGTGCAAGAAGCTCCTTACTTGAGGATGCAAATTATGACTATGAAAGGAACTACTCAAGGAATGCTTTGAGTCAATGTTGTTTAAATTTGTGAGATTTTCCCACAAACTACACATTAAATTATTTCATAT